AGATAAACAATCCAATCAAAAAATGGGCAACGGACCTAGATAGACACTTTTCGAAAGAGGACATACAGAAGGCCGAAAGACATATGAAAACATGCTCAAAGTCACTAATCATACGAGAGATGCAAATCAAAACGACAATGCAGTATCATCCTACACCTGTCAGAATGGCTATCATCAACAAACAATAAGTGTTGGAGAGGATGTGGAGAAAAAGGAACCCTTCTGCACTGCTGGTGGGAATGCAGACTGGTGCAGCCACTGTGGAGAACAGTATGGAGTTTCCTCAAAAAACTAAAAATGGAACTCCCATTTGACCCACTGATTCCACTTCTAAGAATATATCTCAAGAAGCCAGAAACACCAATCAGAAAGGATATATGCACCCATATGTTCGTACCAGCACAATTCACCATAGCTAAAATTTGGAAACAGCCTAAGTGTCCATCAGCAGATGAGTGGATTTAAAATCTGTGGTACATCTACACACTGGAATACTATGCTGCGGTAAAAAAGAAGGAATTATTTCCATTTGCAACAGCATGGATGGAACTGGAGAGCATTATGCTAAGTGAAATAAGCCAGTCAGAGAAAGATAAATACCACATGATCTCACTCATTTGTGGAATATAGAGAACAACATAGACTGATGAACAGGGACAGATCCAAAGACAGAGAAACTTCGATCAGACTATCAATCCCCAGAGGGAAAGTAGGGGAGGGAAGGAGTAAGGGGGAGAGATCAACCAAAGGACTTGCATGCATATAAGCCAAACCAATGGACACGGACAACAGGGGATTGAGAACATGAGTGTGTGTGTGGGGGGTGGGGGGGTTGGGGGTTAATAGGAAATGAGGACACATTTGTAATACCTTAACCAATAAAGAAATTTTAAAAAAAGAAAAAAAATCAATTTGATCTTTATCTGTATTCTATCCACCTTCCCTTTTTCATACTCTAAACTTCTTGAAAAAAATATTAATGTCAAAATTTTTTGCAGATATCTTTCCTGATATTAATTATACTCTTAGTATTTAAAAATTGAGAAAATACATACAACACCCATAAATTTAAAGCCAACTTCCATTAACAACAAGGGGCCCTTGAAATACTGGCAACTTACAAATGTAATACATTTTCATGTAATGCCCAAAATTTAAAGGCATGTTCTTTTAAAAGTTCTCACTTTAGCCCTAACTGGTTTGGCTCCCTGGATAGAGCGTCGGCCTGTGGACTGAAGGGTCCCAGGTTCAATTCCAGTCAAGGGCATGTACCTTGGTTGCAGGCACATTCCCAGTACGGGGTGTGTAGGAGGCAGCTGATCGATGTTTCTCTCTCATCGATGTTTCCAACTTTCTATCTCTCTCCCTTCCTCTCTGTAAAAAATCAATAAAATATATTTTTTTAAAATAATAAAAAATAAAAGTTCTCACTTTATATAGGTACTCTGTATCTATGTTGGGATGCTAGGAAAACCGGTATCACATGAATGCTTGTGCATAGAACATAGTGACTCAGGGTTAACACTCATTTTCACTGTTGGTATGGAAGAACATGATAAGAAAGAGCCATATGACAAATTACTAAGTTTGCAAAGTGATTCAGGATAATGTTTTCTCCTTTCTAAATGAAAAAAATTACTCTATATGTAGCCCCTTTTCCTTTTTGCACCTTAAAAGCACCCATCAATTTTGAAATTTCACTATGGCAATCATATTGGATTTATGGTTTGCATATCTGTATTTACTTGATTTTCTAACTTTATGTCTCATTGGTTTGATTGGTCACTCTACTTATCATTCTGTTAGTGCTTAAAGAAAGCCACTTAAAATATTTTATGGAACAAGGCAAAGCAGTAGGCAAGGAAGGCAGACTGCAATTACAGAAACACTAGAGGGCTGGTGCACAAAATTCGTGCACAGGGCAGTAGGGGGGTCTCTCAGCCCGGCCTGCACGCTCTCCAATCCAGGACCCCTGGCTCCTAACCGCTCACCTGCCTGCCTGCCTGATCGCCCCTAACCACTCTGCCTGCCTGCCTGATTGCCCCTAACCACTCTGCATGACTGCCTGATGCCCCTAACTGCTCTCCCCTGCCGGCCTGATTGCCCCTAACTGCTCCCTGATCGGCCCTAACCCCCTCTGCCTCAGCTCCCACCACTGTGGCTTTGTCCAGAAGGACGCCCAGAAGATGTCTGGTCTAAATAGCATATTACCCTTTTATTAGTATAGATTCCAATGCAAAGCCAACACTTGGCACAGCTATGTCTCAAACCCAACCAAAGGACCCATGAAAGAAGAAGTAACTAACTGTACAAGCACAAATTCACTCTACAGATAGTTAAACAAGTAAAATGTATGGAAAAAGGAATGATAGCAAGTATTGCCACCTTGACATAAAAATGACAGCACTAAAACAGAAGCTGGCTGGAGAACCTAGCGAGAGAACATGGCAAGAGAACCTACACAGAACCTGGCTGGAGAACCCAACTATGCTGATCAACCAAACGCTGTCTCTGTGTCATTCCTTCTTCGCCGACTCCGTCCACACCTTGGGGAACCCCTGGACCTGTTGGGGCTGGACCCCAACAACATATATAATTACATATTGTTTTTGTGATTAATCACTATGCTTTAATTATGTTCAATTTGTAACAATGAAATTGGGGGTCACCACAACATGAGGAACTGTATTAAAGGGTCGCGGCATTAGGAAGGTTGAGAACCACTGCTTTAGACAATAAAGAATTATTTTTTAAAAACAAACAAAAAAAAATGACAGCACTATCCTAATGCAATTTATGATTACTAAAATCACTGAAAACAGCAATATATTTTCATAATAGTAAACTCAAACTGTCACTTATATGTCAACATGGAACATAAAATTGAAAACAGAAATACTAATGCAAAAATAAAGACAAAAGAATTACTTTTAATGTCTGTAGTCCTTTTTCATAACACAATCTTTACACTGATTATTTAGACATAAGGTTTAAAATAAATCACCAGCTCTTCCATACAAGCCATGGACTTCTTCAGAATCATAAACACTTTCACATACACTGTATAATTCTTTTTTAGCTCCAAACATTTAGTGATGTCACTATTTCCAATGTGATTTTAATAAAACTCTTATACTAGTAACTCTTTTCCTAGCCAGGTGTGCTGCAGGGGTTGGGAGGTGGGGAATACAGGAGAGGGAAATTGGGGAACATTTGTAATACTGTCAATAATAAGATAAAATAAACAAAATTAAATTAAAAAGCTAATCCTATCCTATATAATAAAAGCCTAACATGCAAATTGACCAAACGGCGGAACGACCGGTGAAACAACCAGTTGCTATGATGTTCACTGACCATCAGGGGGCAGACGCTCAACACAGGAGCTGCCCCCAACCCACAGACCCCAGGCCAGCCAAGGTGGGTGCCATCAGGGCCCCCCCGATTGCCCCGCTGATCTCCCCACAGAGGGAGGAAACTGGCAGTGGTGCCGGGGTTGGGGCCGGCGAGTGGGTGGCGCCAAGGCGGGTATCAGCAGGGGCCCCCGATCACCCCTCCAGTCACCCCACAGATCAGCCCTGATTGCCAGCCAGACCTAGGGGCCCTACCCATGCACAAATTTCGTGCATTGGACCTCTAGTTCATATATGTAAATGCAATATCTTACCTAATTAAGTTTTCATTTTAAATATTACAAAGCAGGAAGAATATAATAAATCATATTAAATAATTAGCTTTGCAAAATTAGGATTATTACTCCGTAATCACTTGCCTACCCTAGAAACGAATAATTTCAGCCATATGTAATACTTTATACCATTTTCCTTCTAAATCTTTATTCTTCCTAGGTTACCTCTAATTTTAAAAATAATAGTCATTTCATTTGTTTATTATATATCTTTCAAAATTTGATATTTCAAATAGCACATTAAGCAATACGTTTTTATAAATTTCTTATTTCAAAATTATGTAAGAAAAGCCATAGCTTCAACATTAGAAAACAGACTAAAGAATAAAAATAGTTCATGAAAGGTAAATGTTAAAAAAAGAAAAACACCTTTGAAAGAAATAAACATAACAGCTGAATTCCAAAAAATAGAGATGACTTTTAAACCACATTGAAGACTATCACTATATATTATATCACATTTCACATAGAATTTACATAAAACTTTACACAGAATTTATAAGAGAGTTCTTACTACCTTATATCCAGGTCCTAACTGATGAACTGCAAATATCTGTGCAGGGTTGAGTGCTTCACTGAATACATACACAGCACCAAGTTGACCACAGAATACTCTATTTGCATCAGCAGTTTCGGAGGATCCAAGAAAGCACTTGTCATAGCTCTATTTTTAAAAAGTCATAAAAAGCAAATGTATTATTTTCTAATGACAAAATATTTAAGGATACCTTCTTTCACTGTTATAACAATAAAAGAAGAAAGCATCAATTAATTCTTACAGAGTATTTAAGTAATAAAAGCCAGCTAAAGATTTTTAGGAAAGATAAATCAGTTAAATGTTTTATATTGATGGGCAAGTTAAACAAACAATAACCATTTACTCAATCACTTGACCACTTCTCCAACTTTATATTTAAAGGCAAAAGGGCTTACTTATAATTATTTATTTACAATAGTAAAAATTATTTTAAACTAAAATGATTTATTATTATTCATATTCAGAGAGAGACTCATCTGAATCAGAGAATAACTCGTCCAATTTTAATCATAAATACATAGGGCCTAATTTTAAAAACGCAACCTAATTTTTCCATTATTGATATATTCTACTATTTCTCCAGACAGAGGAAATCACTTCCCTCTCTCACATAAGTAAGCATTATTCAGAATCAGAAAAGATCACAAAAGTCTGATGCCTAAAGCAGATGGTACAGTGCTCTCCATCTGGAGAGTTGAGCACCTAAGAAGCCATTCTTAACAAGACCTTTCCCACTAGGACAGTGGTTCTCAACCTTCCTAATGCCGCAACCCTTTAATACAGTTCCTCATGTTGTTATGACCCCCAACCATAAAATTATTTTCATTGCTACTTCATAACTAATTTTGCTACTGTTATGAATTGTAATGTAAATATCTGATATGCAGGATGTATTTTTATTGTTACAAATTGAACATAATTAAAGCATAGTGATTAATCACAAAAACAATATGTAATTATATATGTGTTTTCCGATGGTCTTAGGCGACCCCTGTGAAAGGGTCGTTCGACCCCCAAAGGGGTCGCGACCCACAGTTTGAGAACCACTGCACTAGGATGTTTTAAACCTCTCCTAATACTTGGTCCCACCCATCTAGACCAGTGAAAGCAGTCACTGCTGTTTCTCTCTCACATCCTCACAGGTTATTACACTCATGTGAATTAGATACAAAATCAGAAACTAGTCATTAACTATCCAATCCTTAATTAAAAGTATAATAACTTAAGAATTGACTTCATAATGCATATGTGCATATGCATTACTGTCCAGGCCGCTCCATTTAGTGGAGCGTTACTGCAAATAATTCACAAATCTAAGTATTTTCTTCCTTGTATTAAAAATATATATAACCGTAGAGATAATGACAGTCAACATGATCACTGAGGTTTTTCCACTCTAATAAAAAGACTTTTTCCTTTGGAGAGCAAAACTTAAGAATTTCATCTGTATATTCTAATTCTGACAAAATTATCCTCATAAATATTTACTATGTCCTGACTACAAGTTTCTAGGACAAAAAACAAAAACTTTTCCTATAAAGGAACAGATAGGAAATATTTTATGGTTTGTAAGCCACATATAATTTCTGTTATCTTCTTTGATTTTTGTTTGTTAGGGTCATTAAAAAATGTAAAAACAAGATTCTTAGTTTCTAGGCCATACAAAAAGAGGTAAAGGGCCCTGACCTAGAGTACAAACTAGACTATGCATACAGTGCTACTAGGAGAACAAGAGCCAATCCCTGCACTGAGAAGACTGAAGTCTACTGAGATGCAGATAATATTGAGATATGAATTTTATTAAAAAGAGGCTTGCTGGAATTATTCTTTGGGCATTAGAACACATCTCTTATTTTTGCTCTAACAGGCTTGGATGAAGATAAGAGAAGGCCCAAAATAGAGAAAAAAGAACTTTTAAGGTTTTAAATCTATATATCCTCTATTAAGAATCCAACTATGTTATCTCCACCACTGCTAATATTCTAGTCAAAATTACTATCTCTTTGTTACAGCAGTAAATCATTTAACAGATCCCCCTGCTTCTGCCAATTATTTTCCTTAAAAATATTCTCAATACTGCAGCCTGATTGATGTTTCCAAAATACCAATCAGCATCATGTCTCTAGTCTGCTTATAATCTTACTAGAGGCCCGATGCACGACAATCATGCAAGAGCAGGCCTTCCTACTCCCAGCTGCTGGCACCAGCTTCCCTCTGGCACCTGGGACCCAGGCTTCCCTCTGTCTGCAGGCAGGCACACAGGGCCCGGGCTTCCCTCGAAGTCCTGGCTTCCTCCAGAAGGTGGTCAGGAAGGACTTCCAGTCTAATTAGCATATTACGCTTTTATTATTATAGATAAAGATTTTTAGACTAGATAACATTGGAAAGCCCAAGCCTTATGTTAGTACATGAGGCCTTGCATATTTGACTGTCTAGTATCTGCTTTGCCTCATCTCTTATCTGTTCTCTTCCCTCTGCCCCAAACAAGCTGGTTACTTTGTTGTTTAAGAAACTCTCCAGTTTTGGCTTAAAACCTTTCAACATACAATGAATGGGATATTCCCCCCAAATATCCACATGACTTGCTCCCTGAACTCTAATAAAATCATTTCTGTATCATCTGGCTTCTCCCGTCCCTAAACCTACACTTTCTATACCTGTTCCCACTTAATTTTAGTCCATAGAATTTATCACCATTTATCTAATAAATAGTAGTGACTATATGTTATACTTATCTGTCTAAGGTTTTTGTGTCATATCCAAATAAGGTGAAAGATACATTTTTAATGCCTGGGATTCTGGAAATACTAGAATACAGCCTTGATGTTTTTGACCTAATATTTAATAAATTATCAAAGCATTTTTTCTTTTTTTGTATCACTAATCATGTCTTGTGGCAATTATATTAAATTTAAGACTTAAAAATTCACTTAATAGAAAAAAATTCAAAGTAAAACTATTAAGTTTCTAACAAACTATTTTATTATTCAATTATAAACAATTACATAGCATATGCTCAAATACATTAAAACACAGGTTAAAATAAAACTTACATCATTTGTGTTAACATGCCAAGCCATATCACCATAGGATACTAGCTGTCCATTCACATAGCATCGAATTTCACTGTTTCTCCATCGATTGTATATGTGGACAATGCTGATCATATACCACTTAAATGAAAAAAAAATTAAAGATATCAATAAGTAATGTTTAATTTTTATTGTATAAAAAGCAATTGTAACATTCATAACATACCTACAAAAAATGCTTGCAGCAAGTAACAGTTGCCCTCTACTATTTAAATTCCCTCATCCCATTTCTCATCTATCAGATGAAAGAAGTAATTCATAAAGAATAAACTTGTGATTTGGACAGAGCTAGAAAGCCTTGAATCTTACTAAACCTTCCAATTAACAAAGATCCAAAAACTATGAAATTATGATTATATTTGTGTTGATTCATTTAACAACATTTACATTGTGCCAGGTACTGCAAACCCACAGATTTGACAAGACTGAACATAGTTCCCACTTTCCTGAAACTTATGGTATAATGAAAAAGACATACATTGAACAAGTAAAACAATATAGGATCACAAATCATAATGATTTCTGTGAGGAAAAGAGAATGGTTTAAAATGAGAGAGAATAACCTAGATTCTACTTTGGACTGCATGGTCAAGAAAGACCTGACAAATGAAAAACTTTTTAACATTAATAGTACAATTTAGATACAATTGAAACACACCATTTAGACTTATTAAATCAGGGATAATTTTATATTCTAAACTTAACTTATGAATATTCATTAAAAATAAAGAAATAAATTTCAATTGAGTTCTCATTTTTTATTTACTAGGTCCCACAAATTTTTAGTGTTGTTGGTTTTTTTTATATAGATGGTTTAAGGTCTGTAATAATTTGTGGATCCAAAACTTAGTCTCTTTATAGTTAACTAGAGGCCCAGTGCGTGAAATTTGTGCATGGGTAGGGTCCCTAGGCCTGGCCGGTGATTAGGCCCATCGGGGCCTTCTGGCTGCTGGCTGGGGCCTTCCTTCAGGCTGCTGGCCAGGAAATTCCTTCCCCGGCTGCCAGCTGCCGGTGGGGGCCTCCCTTCCATGGCTGGCAGCTGCCAGCCGGGGCCTCCCTTCCCTGGCTGCTGGCTGCTGCCAGGGGCCTTCCTTTGTTCCGCACAGCCCCCTGGTGGTCAATGTATGTCATAGCGAGCGATCAAACTCCTGGTCTCCTGGTCGAGCTCCCGAGGGGACAATTTGCATACTAGGCTATTTAGATAGATAGATAGATAGATAGATAGATAGATAGATAGATAGATAGCCAGCCTAAAGCAGAGAATATAAAAATAGTTTTCTAAAATGAAGAAAAACACAAATGATTTCTAGATATTTGAGCAAGTATACCTTCAGTGGATAAGGGGGAAGGGGGATAATTAGACTAGCTTTCATAAAAAAAAAACATAAAAATATAGACTACAGACTTTGTTCTCCAGATTACTTAAAAGCACTATTCAATTATTTAATAAATATTTGCAAAGTACATAACTTTAATAGTAATTCTCAACTAAAATTTGTTATTTCAAGTTGTCTGGAATATTTCGAACAAAATTCAATTCATTTATTTTTATTTAGAAAATCAACACTAAACAACTCACAGAAAACAGTAATATATAAAAAAAACATTATTTATCAACTATAAAAACAATGTCAGGTCAAATCATTTAACTCATTTACAAGTTTTTTTATCTTCTTAAATTGTTTCATTCTAGGTAATCTAATTTGTTGCAAACTGAGACATTAAAGTTAGTCATTTAACAGCTCATGTTTCTAAGTATTACAAACTTATGAGAAAAGAGCTCATAAAATTGAGCATCAAATAAATTTAAGAAAACTTCATAGATATTTACATATGTAAGAATCAAAATTTATCTAAATAGCCCTAGCTGGTTTTGCTAAGTGGATAGAGCATCAGCCTGCAGACTGAAGGGTCCCAGGTTTGATCTGGTCAAAAGCACATGCCTGGGTTGCTGGCTTGATCCCCAGTAGGGGTGTGCAGGAGGCAGCCAATCAATGATTCTCTCTCATCATTGATGTTTCTCTTTCTCCCTCTCCCTTCCTCTGTGAAATAAAAAAATATGTATTTTTTAAAATTTTTTCTACATAATTTTCAACCATAATGCAATCTAGACACAATATGTACATTTTTAATAAAATTTTGAGAAATTAAAATATCTAAATAGAATAGACATGTTTATAAATATAAAAATTTTCTGCTGCTGAAAGATATTTTTAAAACAAACACTAAAAGCTGTACAATTGAGAGATTCCAAGATGGTGGCAAATAAGTAGAAGCTACACCGACAATCTCCCAGTACCAAATTGAAATTACACTAAAATATAGAGATATCATCCTGAATAACCTACAGAAGACTAAGTGGAAAGAACCCTTATAAACAAGGATGTAAAGAGGAGGCCACATCAAGATTGGTAGGAAGTGTGGTGGTGCAAGAAGTCTGGTTAGGCTCGCACAGGCAGCAGCTGAAATTCTGGAGAAATGTCTCAGTTGTAGGGGGTTACCTCTGAGAAGTCTGGGATATAAACACAAGCTGGACTCCCCAGCCCAGAGTAACAAAACTGGGAAAGGTGCCTACATAACACCTGGCTATGAAAAGCACCAGGGGTACTGTCCAGCAGGAGAAGATGGCTAGATACATAGGCACCCCCTTAATGGGCCAACACTCTAAATTGCATTTGCAGCCACTCAACTTGGACTCCGGCAGAGAGAGGGCAGGGTGAACTAGAGCTGCATGAGGAGAGTCTGGGGTTTGTAGCTCTGTGGAGAAAGCCACCAGGATCACTATGCTGAAGAAGCATTCCCCACTTCTGCAGAAGCATTCTTTCTGGGACAGAGCTTTCCCAACAATACAGCTTCAGCATGGGGGGAAGCAATTGCCTCACCAATAGAAAATCCTCTTGTCCCACCCTGGAGAGTTTACATCCACTGTGCGAACATGCTTCTGGGCCTTGGGCTAGAAAAAGCAGATCTTGGTGCACAGCTTGGTCCTTTCCACATGCACTCAGACACAGCTGAGGAAGCCATAAACTGTGGCTCTCTGATAGCTCTAAACAGGGTACTCAGAGCCCATCATAAACAGCATGTGACATTGGATTAAACAACAGATCCTCCAAAGGAACCCAAAACCAATGAACCCAGTGGCCAGCTTCAAACAACAATGGAGAAGGATCCAATAAGCTCACAAGCAGTATATCAACAGGGAAATATTGGCAGGATCCAAATCCTGCTAAGGTGAATTCAGCTTCATGTAATAAGCATCAGCTACAGACTGCATGCCATGTTGAGGCCGAGCCTTACTGTCAGTCAGCCTGAAGAGAAAGCTCATGCATAAATGGGCCAATAGCAAGTAAAACTCAATTACAACAGGAGGTCACACGCAAAGAACACAGAGAAATTATTACAGCACCCAGGTCTGGCGGTCATGGAGACTATGCCACTGGGTCCCACCTATCACATAAGGCCACCCTACCAAGACTGGGATTCGTATATAATACATAGAAACAAATGCAAACAGGCAACTAAAATGGAGAGAAAACGAAGCAAGCACCAAAAGATAATTCTCTAGAAGAAGAGATAAATTAAATGGAGAGAAGCAATTTATCAAATATAGAATTCAGAATAGAGATTATAAGGATGCTCAATTGCATGAAAAAAATAAACAGAAACTATGAAAAACAACTTTGTAAAATGAAGAATGACACAGCAGAAATAAAGAATACACAGGAAGGAATAAACAGCAGATTAAAGGAAGCTGAGGATGGAATCAGTGAATTGAAAGACAAGGTAAAAAAAATCACTAAATCAGAGAACCAAAAAGAAAAAGCAATTATAAAGCAGGAGTACTGCTTAAAGGAGCTGTGCAACAATCTGAAATGTTCAGCATCATAGGAGTACCAGAAGATGAAGAAAGTGAGCAAGAGATACAGAACTTTGCTGAAGAAATGTCATAAAACTTACCTGACCTAGTGAAAAAAAGTCACACAAGTTCAGTAAGCACACAGAGTCCCAAGCAAAAAGAACCCAAAGAGGACCATGAGCAGACGCATCATAATGAAAATGCCAAAAATTAAAGAAAAAGAGAACAGAGAAAGAAAAAAGCAATTTGTTAACCACAAAGAAGCTTTCATAGACTGTCAGCTGATTTCTCAACAGAGACACTGTAAATCAGAAGGGAGTAGCAAGCAGTATTCAAGGTAATGAAAAGCAAGAATCTAAAATCAAGCTGGTTCTATCCAGCAATGCAATAATTGAAACAGGAGATGAAATAAAGAGCTTCCAAGACAATAAAATTGGATAAAAGAGTTTGTTAACAACAATCCAGTATTACAAGAAATGTTAAAGGGACTGTTAGAAGAAGAAAAAGAATGAGAGAGAAACAAGCAAAAATAATACAAATGACAATCTACACTAATAAAAGAAAAACGTGCAAATTGACCGTACCTTCGCTGCACCTTAACCCACGACCACCAGCCAATCAGAGCGACTATATGGAAATTAACCCAACCAAGATGGCGGCCAGCAGCCACAGAGCTGGAGAAAGCAGGAGACTTGGTTGCTCCAGTGATGGAGGAAGCCAAGCTTCCCGCCTGCCGCGGGCGGCTCTGAGCTCCACTCAAGGCAACAAAGTTTCAATTATAGAAGATAAATAAACCCCAGATACCTGCTTTCAGCCGGCCGTGGCCACGGACCTGGAGTGAGCAGGAGGCTTGGGTTGCACCTAGCGATGGAGGAAGCCAAGCTTCCTGCCTGCCCTGGTCAGCTCTGAGCTCCACTCAAGGCTACAAAGTTTCAATAATAGAAGGAATATAAATCCCAGAAGAAAAAAAAAAGAAAAAAAAGAGAGGCTGGGAGCTTCCGTCACCGGGGGGCTTGGCCAGCCTGAAAACGGCCCTCAGCCCCTTACCCAGACTGGCCAGGCACCACAGTGGGGAACCCCACCCTAAAGCGGGTGTGGCCAGCCTGAAAAGAGACATGAGCCCCTCACCCAGGGTGGCCAAACCCCAATGGGGTGAGGGTCCCCACTGGCGGGGGGGGGGGTTGACCAGCCTGCAAACAGCCATCAGCCCCTCACCAAGGCGGGC